GATAATGGTCTATAATTAGCCACTTCATACCTATTCCCAGATTTAAAAATTGGTACAATTATTGCTTCATTCAATTTAGATGGAAAGGTACCCATGGTAGGTACCGTATTATAAATTACGAGTATTGTTGTAAGTAAATTGTAAGACCCTCATCATAATATTTTAGTTAAATTAATAAATCTGTGGATCCATTGTACCAACTTCTACATTATGTTAATAAAATTTGTTTTAAAAATTAACAGGTAAGTACCACATACAGTGCAAGTACGGTTGGCTTGGCTGCAATCTGCAATACTTACGTTGGTTTGAAATCGTTCTCGGAATGGGCCCACTCGACCTCCAACAAAATAACTACCTGCCTGTCTGGTTGTAAAAAAAAAAACGCTTTGCCCACTACACTTAAACGCCAGGATGGATACTTAATATGAATTCCTCAGAGTCTTCTTGGTACTGCCTGATGACTCCGATGAGTGATATGATGACATTTTACTGGGTGTTGAAAAATATGAGATGTAATACGCGGTATACATTATGTAACTAGATTAAGTAATTAAGTGTGTACAAAATAAACCAGAAACTAACATCTTAAACGAGATAATGTTAATTAAAAAAAATACCTAGTATTATGAAGTCAGCATGTGATATTGTACGGGCGCGCGTTCAAGTCTTTTCGTTCAATGGCCTCTTCAAGGGAACTAGGAAGCGGTGGTCATAAACAAAAAAACTTGTATCCACAATAGTCATCGATGTTCGTTTATACGTATGTATTTAAATTTTATCACGACTTATACATACTTACTTAATAAAAGGCGATGTTTATTCGAGAAATAATAAAGCAAAAACAAAGAATAAAATCCGCCTTCAAAATACCGGACCGCATTTATTTTAATTCAGTTTTCGATTATGAAATCGGTTTTGTTTTATTTAAAAAAATATTTCATATATTTTAGAGAAAATTACATCATCCAAGTAACAATAAACAAAACTGCTCATATACTGAAAACAACTGGGTCAAACTAAATTTTTCTATGGGATCAAATGGTAAGAATTTCCCATAGGACAAAAAAAGAATCACTCAAATCGGATCAGAAATCTCGGAGTAATTGGTGTAAATTCAAACAAAAAAAACATACCAACCGAATTGAGAACCTCATCATTGTCTTTGAAGTCATTTAAAAAATAGTATCTGACAGCGATATTCCGATTCAAGGTTGCGTAAAGTTGAGGCCAAATTTCGTGCGAGGACCGAGTGCTCGCGGGTGTCAGCTGATCAGCTGGTGATATGTGAATCATTTCAGAATTCCCGTATTAACTATTCATTTGTTCTAACATATTTTTGCATGAGTCACCGAAGTGAGGTTCGTTGACACAACTTTTTCATCGCAAATGAAATGCTGGAATCTTTGCCACATGCGTGCGTTTTAAAATGCAGAACATAAACTGCAGGTTTTATTATTTATGCCGAAATGGATATGGCTCAAAGACTAGAGGCACGATATCGATGTGCATAAAATCTGGAGCTTGAATTTTATAAACGAGTTTTCGTGGCGTCCAAACCAGTTTTGTTGATGTCGATCAACGTGCATGGACGATATTCAAAGAATATAACCGAGTTAACGTCATCTAACCAGTTGCGGTTCAAAGTGGGGGTTCGGTGGGCGTGCCGGTGTGACGCTATGACGAAACACCCCACTTTGTGCAAGTATTATTGTGAAACGTATTGACGGAGGCGAAACTAGCCGCGCCATGGAGGCCAAGATGCCTTGAATAATAAGTTGCTATACGCCAGCGAAACTCGAAGAAGCCCAAATGTAAAACGGTGTTGTATGGATTTGTTTATACTTCAAACATTACAGATATGTAGACAAAAAATCTGATATAATGATTAAGAGTGCAACACAAGCGAACGTTGTATCTAAGAGACCATAGTGACGTAACTTTTTTATTTTACATTCTTATTAGAAAAGATTATGTGTTATATTTTTTTATATACTTACTACATTTACGGTTCACTAAAACAAAAGAAGTATTTGAATAAACAAGAAAGAGACTTTCAAATCTCTATCTTATTTATTCAAAATCAATATTGTTATTTTTGAATCATAAGCCTGAGCAAGAAACCTGCCAAACCATTAGGAAGTATAAAACACAATTTTGTTTTACCACAATGTAAAGACGAAATTTTGTTTATCGTTAACTAAACCAAAACAAATATTGCATAATGAACATACGACATAAGTAATTATTTAAATGAAGATTCGTGTAAGTTCAAGGTAAACTAGCTATTCTGCTAGCAAATAACATTTCACAGACACCACTTTTCTTTTCTAGATATAGATACATTTAAGTAAGTTAGTTGCTAAGAAACATATTTCGATGCGTTCTAGGAAGTGAACAGCTCAACTTTATCCGCGCGACAGCGTCCATTATTTATTTACATATATTCGTCTGTATTCCCATGGCCGAAGTCACAAGCAAAAAGTTAACGATCCAACATCTCAACGTTTCTGGCCGTACATAGGTACTATAAAATTAGATACGAGTTAGGATTTCCTCATACTCCATTTGTGTAACTGACTAAATCAATCCGTCAATATGAATAGACACACGCCCATGTTTTTCATTGGACTGATAAAAGTTCATTGCTGTTATTGCTTTTACAACTATGAGCACACACTTTTATCAGGACATAAACCTTATCAGAATCATAAACCATACTTACTTCTGAAATATCATATTAAAATTTCAGGCGAAGAATGATGACACCCCGGTGACTCGTCGTCCGGAACCATCCGCTTTCGTTGAAATCCCATTTTATATCATCAGTCAGCTGATTGCTTTGTTGATAAACAGATGACTATCAAAACAAATAGCGATAACATACGACCATGCTTGTCATCTGACACGCAAATATATCTATCTACATGTCATTGTATGTATAGAACTATAGAGGTTAATATAACAAGTTCGATTGCCGATTTAATAAGCAAGTACCGGGTAAATATGTCATCACACTAAAATCTGTATAATGCCACCAATCTATGACGGAAACTAAATTTAATCAGCTGTGATAATATAAATTATCGCGGTCTAATAACACCTTTATGTAGACTACAGGGAAAAAATCGTAATTATGTATACAACGTTAAGATACATTTGAAGGTTCGAATGCATATTTATTAAAAAACTTATTTTGGCGTTTGAAAGACGTAAACATACGTCAGATGACCGGACATGAGGGCGTTACTCCAGCTGATATGGCGTCTATGTTTACATATAAATTTTTAGTATTTTGCGTCGGGTCGTCGGTATGTTAATTGATTACTGGGCTAAAACGAGCAAAACAAATAGAACGTGACAGAGCAATGTTGTTAACATGACATTGTAGCTTGATCGAACAATATAAAACTCTATTTAATTAAAAATATTTGAAACTGTTATGTAATTAAGAATTAGGTTATTGGCAATAGAAAATCGGCTTAGTTAACTACTGTAAAATTGAAAAATATTTGCAAAAGGTTTCGTTCAGTGATTTCGCACAGTCAACTGTGATGGAAGTCGTTAGACGTGCTCATCTACCAGCTGTTTCATCATGTGTTATGCAAGAAGATTATGTAAGCGCTAAGTGTGCATGGTCGTATGATAACTAACCTAACATTGTAGTAGAAATGAACAAGAGCGTCTACTAAACAACAAGAAGCCTGGGTTACATCGTGTCTGCCTAGAATTTTATACTTAATTACTTATTAAGGCAAAGCAATTCCCACAATATTATGAACCGATTTCAGATAATAAGGACTAATAGGATCTCAAACTTTTGGGATGTATGCGCGTGTGTCACTCACATATTAGAAGTTGAATCAAACACACGCTTTTAAGTTGAATAGGTAATTTTAAATTACCAATGTTTTTATAATGAATTTATTACGAAACGTTGAGGATATATTACATGAACAATAGTCATGTATTCTACCAAGAAAACCAGAAGTATTTCAGCTGACTCAGATCAGTGAGAAAAAACAAATAAGCGAGACTCTGAGTCATATAGTTACCTTTGGCAGACGATAATGATAGCACTAGTCACGGCAGATTACTATAGTATATGAATAAGTATTGCAGCAACTGTGTTATGTACACATAACAGCGCACTAGTTTACCAACTGTCAAAACTGTTAAACCGATTCTAAAGTTGATGGCAAATAAATTCAAAGTTAAAAATTAAATTGTCGACATTTGACAGTTTTGTATTAACTTGGCGTGCTGTTGACTGAACTTACCTATATTCAAGCTTTGATTATTTAATCAAAGTATCCAAAATTATTTTATCGGTGATCATTCAAAGAAATGAATGATGTGTAGGATAAACATTAAAGTGAAATTTACAGGATTCGAACCCGCATATTATAGACAGACAAAAGACAAAAATTGTCAGTCTGCCACTTTTATGCTATTATTTCTTGTGATAATTATCTCGACAGTATAAAGTTTCCTCCCATTATAAAAATTAAATTATTAAAATCGACAAAAGTGGCACACGACAAACTTTTGCGATCTGTTTTATTTTTTTACGTTTTCAATAGGATGCCGGATGTGTATGTATTTTCATAATCCCGGCTTTCTTTCGATAAGTATAATCGTTATTCAATTACTTTTTCAATATTCAGAAGTCCAGCTAAATTATTTACCAAGAACCTACTTGAAAGTAATCATTCAATAAGTAACATATTACTAATATTTACGTTAATATTTGGACTAAATAAAATATTTAAAAGAATGTAGAGCTGAATAAAACTTGAGTGAGAAAATATAGGAATATTGTCAGAGTGCAGTCTAAAATTTAACTAATTGTGAGAATTCAAGATTAATTTACCAAAGTGTCTAACTTACATTGTGATGGGTAGAGATAGACCAAATAATAATACAGTTTCTTTTTAAAAAATATTACGTTTATTGCAATTCTTGCAATTCGAAGGCACATACAATAGTACTTTGTACGCGAACTCCGGCAACGTAATAGTGTCACATAAAAAAGTCCTTTCACACATATTAAAGATTCGACATTTTAATTTGTCAACAATTTACAGTTCGTGTCCATAGAACAGTCGTCATAATATTTATCACTTGTTTATTTACGCGGCACAGACCAACGGGTCATAGGGCTGCAACACGGGCAGCTGACTCGAAATGCGTGCTGCAGTTTGGCTGGCAGTTGATGCAGCTGCTCGGTCACGGTGCACCATCAGAAGCACCAAATCCAAAGCGGCACGAGCGTCCTCGACGGGCGAGTGGCCACCACTTTTTCGATTCCTGACTGGCCGTCCGAGTACTTCCATCGATAGAGCACGTAGAGATCGGCGTAAAGGAAATCCTCTTGCGTGTGGATACAAATCGCTAGTATCCACCACGGTTGTGTGTAGCAACTTCAATGCTCTGAGATCGTTCTCTAATGCGTGGCCGATCAAAATCGTGTCTGTGCCCACAAATCCAAGTATGTCATTTTGCACGTCTCGAAGAGTCTTCTCCGCCGTCTGTAGGTCGCGGGGTCGGATGCCGGAGAAACGAGTATTACAGTCCACAACGGGCGCGGTGGGTTTCACATACTCTTTGTAAACAATGTGACCATCGACGGCAATAAAAGCTATGGAGGCCAATTCTAGACCGGCCGTTGTGTAACACATCTCTGCATCCACTGCGTATACCCCTCCACGGGGAAGACGTGCACGCACATATCCTTCGAGAGGTCCGTTCATTCCGGATTGTGTGCCATTCCATACGTGAAAACGTGATACAGTACAGCCATTCGCTCCTAAAAATTTGTTGCAGCACTCGAATTTGTTTCCCATCACACGACCCCAATGATGAAAGCATGACTCTTCCCGAACATACTCCCCGTCACGAGTCATTTTGAACTTTCTATCACAACGCACACACACATGTTCCACTGTATCCGCTTCTTCATCACTATCGGAGCGAGGTGTTGAACCCCAAGAACTTCGTCCACTGTCAGTTTGCGAGCCGGGCACAAACTCTGGAGCGTTCACATCCCAAGAAGTCGTCGGCCGAGGTTTAGGCCGGGTCGGCGGATTTATATACATCATTGCTTTAGTCGAATTTGACTCTATTTCCACAGGATAACCACGAGTCCACATAGTCGTTTTTGTCATTATGTATCGTTGAAGATGTAGTGCTAATTCTTCAACCGGAATCCTCGGGGGCGGCGGCGGCGGCGGCGGCGACGGCGTCGGTGGCCGCCGGGGATGCTGCTTGTGCTGTCGTGCTGCGATGCTCGCAGAGTCCACCGTCGCGATGGTTTCTTGATAAAACCAATCGTGCAATTGAATACAAAAATGCATGTTTCTTGGCTATCTTGTATACACATAGAGTCGAGAGAGTGAGCGCGGAGCGAGAACCGACGATACGTGTTACTGCGCGCACGGGCGCTAAACTAATGGCGCGCTGGTGGGGCAGCCCACGCTTTATACGTCACCGTAGGTAGCGCGCGTTCGTTAACGGGACATGTCGATCGACCGGCCTATTCTCATTTTTCTAAACAATAATAATTTCCTTTGTTGATGAAGATGAAGACTTTACACCCTTTTTCCACAATATTTATTTTCTAAATTGTCCTTGTATTTAAGAAATATCACAACGCGAGTGCGAGCGTTTGCAACTGTTGTTTACACGGATCAGCTGATGTGATAGCGACACTGCCCGTCACGACGCGACGGGGAGTGCGTTCAATGTATTAATAACTAACAATCGTGAATGGAACAGCTTTTATATGGCTATATTAAGTATTTTCAAATTAGGCGTCACTTAATGCCATCATTAACGTAACCTTTAACATAATACTAATTATTCAACCTTTTCATGTAATAATCTAATGACGACTATTTTAATCATAAAATAGCAGTAATAAAAACGAAAATACGAAAATTATATAATATTAACAATAAATACTACGAAAAAAGATTATTTTTTATCCAATCCGGATATTTTATTTAAACGAGTTCGATTTTAAATATATTTGGATACGCATATTTAAAACAAAAATTTTGCATAAAGTTTTATTATAAAATCCCTGTAACATATTTGTCTCAGAGATGCTGATTATATTATAGCCGAGAGGGAGGCCAGCGGCTGCAGGAAGGACGGCCATTGCCCTCCCGACTCTAAATCCACACGCAAAATAATATATTAACGTACCCGTTGCCACTATAAACAGGTTGTAACCGAATCAAGATCATCGAGCTATAAATTTCATAGGAAGTTAAAAAGATTAAAACCGAATATGGCTTGTGTGGTATTTTTAACGTTCACTAAGCTCTAACATCGTTTTTAATGTAACACACAAAAGGCTGAATGAATAATAATCTTTAAAGCCCTATAAACGTATTCAATAACGCTTTCAAAAGCAGACCCATTTCTTTGTAATTTTTGTAAAGGATTCTGGTATACTGAATGCAAAAGCGAGCTTTTATCTTCTGCTATTTATAATACGAAACACTTGTGTCTAATTCTATTGTAATGAGGTTTTACGATAACCCTATCGTACATGAAAGATTACACTCTATCTAGGCATCAATTGTTGTTATTATAGTGCGAATGCACATAGGTACATAACACGAATTAGAATGGCAAGTGTCAATAATTATGATATCGAAACACTAGTTTAGTATGATAAGATTAATGAACACTATTAAAAGTGAGTTCGTTTTGTTTGTTTTGATAAGTGTTTGTTTGTTTATTATGCAACTTTCAGAATTATCAGTCTGTAAGTGTAAATATAGTAAGTACAGCAAGTCTATGTAGATCAAATTGATAGTAATCAATAGAGTAGATAATCTACTTTCGTTAGAAACTGCCTGAGCTTCACTATCGAGCGCATGAAGCCATGAAGGATAATACGATGCGATCATTCACGTTCGCGAATTTTACGTGTGTAAGTGTATCGTACGCGTGTCGGTAACGTGCTTGTGTGGGCGCGACTCGCCTGGTCGCTGACTCCACGCGATAACCTTCGAATCGATGTCAAATGCTCCTCGACTCGTCAAACGGTATCGTACTCTTAAAGCTGTCTGCACACAACACGATTCCATACAGATCTCCGATTCCCTAAATCCCCATCTATATTTTAACGTGTTGTTTGTTAAACGTCCACGTTTGTTTGTATACAAAAGCATGCGTGGGCGTGACTGGTCGGTGACATCGGCGCGATGATAACCTTCGAATCGACATCTACTAGGGTCGACTACTCGTAAAATGGAATTGTCGCCCGTAAGCCAGCTTAAAGTCTTTGCACTGTTTTTATTTACGACAAACATGATTTAATGTGTAGGATAACTAGATTTACTTTATCACTGACGAAACCAACGACTTGTGTGGAAAATACGAGATTGGATAAGGTCATGACAGTAAAGTATTTGTCAGTACATAGGCCGTCCCCTATCTGGAAATATAACAAAACAAAACATTTATGTTTAAAATTTTGCTATTATTGAATTCTACGAAATTGGGTATACTTTTTTTAATAGTAAAATATAAACTAACTCGAATATAATCCTTACAGTCATAATACAGAACAAAAATCCCGCAAAAAGTCCCAAACTGAAGAAATAATGGCCTACCCAACACGGTTTTGAATAAAAAAAACCCTTTTTGCTGGAAAATACTATAAATGAGAACAGCGTGGTAATTTATGAATATTTGCAAATATACCACGCCAACCTTCCACTTTTACGACCTCATGTTTAGTTTACCTTACACAAACCTTTTAAATATTCGAAGAACAATTAGGACAGCATGGTGTTTTTGAAATACGAACTTCTACTCGTGACTAACATAATAGTAAAGCCAGATGATGTTTAAAATAAAATAAATAAATTTATCGATTCCGATCAAGAACAATTTAATGTAAAGCTACCTCATAACTTTGTGTACTCGGTTTAAATGAATGATATTGCAAGAAGCTCGTCCGTGTATGCCTTGTACCGAGACGACATAGAAAAGTAACATTCTTTCGCCACTATACTACATCTCCAAGACCGGGAAATCATGTGTTAGAAGTTACAACTATGTTAAAAGTCGAGTCTATAAAACTTTCGCAAGTGATAAGCCTATTTCAACAATCTAGTTCAAAAGTTATATTGTTTAAGATTGTGATCTTTACAATATTATTGTTGTGTAATAGTTTCTAGCTTTAAAAAGCTAAAGGATAAATCCTTTGCAGGATTAACAGAGCATGAATAACAATTAGCTAAGTGTATATAAATTTTAATATAATTTCAATACCTAACCACACTCTACCATCTCAACAATGAAACATTTCGCATTAATCATTTTTCGAGGAAAACAACAACATTAATACTATAAAACTATCAAATAATGTTTTCACTTTTATAATTCTATGAAGGATTCCAGAATAGACTTCAGTACCTTCCTAAGTAGTCCAAGTTTATAATTTATTGTTACGTCAACGTGAAACAGACAACAAAACCAACGTGGTACAGAGCTGAGAGAAAGTGTCCACTGACGAAATAGTATGTCACATCGTCTGAGAACGTAGGATAAACTTTTTTTAAGAACGTATCGCTACATTATTTCTATGCAAATATGAGATCATAAACACCTACTTTTGTAAATTCTATTTAAATGATATTTTTCGCCCATCATTACGTAAAAAGTTGAAACAGATAATGCAAACAATTAAGTGATGGTTGAATACCAATTAGGTAATTTACCTCATTAAGATTGTTATTACCATTGTTCTATGAAATATTTGCGTATCTGAATGGTCCTTGACAATTCTGCAAAGGTTGTGGTAAAAAAACGTGATGGCTTATTTTTCATAGCTTGATGAAGTATATAAATATAGTTATATTTTTAGTTTTTAAGCATTTAACTGCTAGATCTTTAAATTAAAATATTTTTTGTACTAGAAAAAAATCCTTTTTATAAATATATTTCAATAAAGTACATAATAGGCACAAGATTGATACACCAGTACATAATGAAAATACATCTTATCTGACAGAGCCAGAGTTAGCAGAAGCAATATTTGCAATCGTAATAAATAAAATGTCATTATTTTCAGCCCATCAAATGGTAACGCTCTTTGTTTTCACGTCTGTTCGGAAGCCGGGTGTAATAATTGCTTGCGAGACCTGTTTTGCCTATAAAAAGTAAACGCCTACTTCTGAGGTACTTACGATCGCGGTCAGTGGGCCAGGGCAAACGAAGAGTATTACCGGAACTTAAATTCATTTTCAGTTACCTAATTTGAACCGGTATGATCGGAGACCTTGACAGAGCACAATGGACATGATAAATGAATGAGATTGACGTGCACTCTCTGTTGCAAAATGGTTACAAGTACAGTGCAAATAAATAAATAAATAACTAGTGGCCCGCCCTCGCGTCGCTTCGGTGTAGAACTAATTATAAACTTTTGGTGAAAATTTATTTAACTGATAGTGAAAATTTTGTTACGTAGTTTAGGACCCGTTGTGCATTGTTCTGCAGTTGATAAAAGTACTTGTCTCTTACCATTGGTCCATGCCCTTATTATTAAATGTATTTTTATCACTTATAATTACTGCACTAATTGTCGAGTCAGATGTTTCTAATGTGATTCTGATAATAGAAATTAGTACATTTTGATTTAACTCAACAGGCGTGGCGTCCGGTGGCGTCGCGTTTCATAAGTCAGATTCGGCCATCTATATTGGTTTCATGAAAAATGTTGTTTAGTTGCAAAAACGGGTAAAAATATTACATTTATGAGCTTTCGTTGCGTGCGTTGGGTAAACGGTTCAAGTATATTATTTATAAAACTATGCTCTATTGTCAATGACTTACGCAGCATACGCGATATATGGTTATTTTTTTGGGATTTTTTTCATACATTGTGTTACATTATAGAAGTTTTCACACGGAACCATAACTTATTTGAAAATACTCTATACCCTATGTTCATCGGGGATAATGTAGGATTCTGAATGTGAAAGAATTTATCAAATCGGTGCCGTAGTTTCTGAGCCTATTTAATGCAAACAACAATCAAACTTTAATCTTTATAATATTAATATAGATAAATCAAAAGCATAGGTGTAAGCAATTCTGGATGGTAAAAAAAGAAAGAATTGATGGGAATCTATTTATGTACTACTATCAAATGTAAACAAAAGGGAGTCTCATTTTTTTTCTCTATTCTCAAATTTTTAACATACATTGCAATCATTAATAAAAGCGGTAGGTATGACTATCAGGCTGTACAGAAAAGTGTTTTGACTAGAACTTTCAATAACAGGAAGG